ATGTCTTTCTACTTTATGGGGAAGCGTTTCCCCAAAGGGGAAATTCTTTCAGTCGGTCTGTCCTCCTGTCTTGAATGGAGAGAGTTACCGCTGAGTCACCCACAGAAACCTCTTGTGTTGAAACTGGTCCTGTGCCTCGTGCTGATTAATGAATTACAAATCTCCCTCCCCCCCCCCTCCCCACTCAGGCTGACATTAAGAACAAGAATGACAAACTTTGTGAACTTGCGGGGGGAAAGGCCAGCGCCAAGTGCTCTCGTCTCGGAGCTGGTGCCTTGGCACGCCCAGCCGTGCCCTCCCTGAGAGGGGGAAGAGGGGGGCCCTAAGCCACTTAGTCACCTGCTGCACCGAAGGCCCCAGCCCAAGCTTGGAGAATGGGGAAAGCGGCCGGGACAATGGGGAGGCGTGGGGACGGGAGAGAAGGGGCGGGGGGGGGGGGCGGGCTGCCCAGACAAAGGGAGGCAGGAAAAACCCCATCACTTGTTGGGAGCCCAGCTCACTGGCACCGGGGGGAACGTATCACTGCATTGATTTGGGGGGAGGCAGTCAGAGATGAAAGCACGGACTAGGGATGGGGCGGAGGGAGGATATGGGCAATGATGGGGGCTAGCTCACAGGAGCCTTGAGGTGGAGACGGGCAGCGGGGCAGGGGTCCGGCAGAGAGCAAACACTTTAGGGTGTCTAAGCGAGAAAGGAGGGACCTACTCAGCACCCCCTCCCTTCTCCTCTTGCCTAGTGTTTGCAGACTATCTATTGCCCTCCCTCCTCCAACTCCCCCTCCCCCCGGAGGCCCAGGGTGGTACCGCAGCCTCGCCTCACCTCACCCACCCACCGCCCCCCCCCCACTCGATGCTGTGGGAGAGAAGCCCTCCCCTCCCTCCCTCTCCCCCCTCCTCCCCCCACCCCCGGGGAGGGCCGCTACAATTTGTGGTTACAGCCTTACACGTCAGAAAAGAAAAAAAAAAAGTTTGCAGAATGTCCCACACCGAAAAAAAAAATCCGAAACCCAGAGAAAAAAACCTGCGAGTGGGCTTGGCGGATGGGATTAGTAAGGCTTCGCCAGAGCTGCGGCTCTCCCTCCCACTCCGCCAGCCTCCGGGAGAGGAGCCGCGCCCGGCCCCTGCCCGGCCCCCAGCCCCATGGACCTCCGAGCAGGTAGGAAGAAGCCGGGCCCCCCCATCTCCTCCACCACCGCCACCCCCACCCTCGCCTCGAGATCCGCTTTCCCGTCCTCCCCCCGGGGGACCCCTGAGGCCGGGGCCGAGCCCCCTACCTCTCCTGTTTCCCCCCCCCTCCCCGCCTCGAGATCCGCTTCCCTTCCCTCCCCCCGGGGGATCCCGAGGCTGGAGCTGGCCTCCGGGAGCTGCCCCCCATCAGCTCCAGTGGGGACCGTGGCATTCCAAGAGTCCGCGTCTCGGCGGGGCGGGGAGGGGGGAAGAGGGAGAGAGCCCGGGACAGGCAGACGGGCTGACAGACGGACGGCCAGCAGACGGCCAGCCGGCCAGCGGACGGACGGACAGACGGACTCGGAGGGCAGAAGCAGCCACCCGCACAAAGGAAGAGAGGAGCCGAGCCCGCGTTAGACACGCAGAGAGCCCCGGACCGAGCAGGAGGAGCCCGAGCGAGCCGAGGGCGGGGAGAGACCGCCACCCTCGGAGACCCAGGCCGAGACGGAGACGGGGACCGAGACCGAGAGCCAGGCAGAGACAGAGCCAGAGCCAGAGACGGAGACGGAGCCAGAGCCAGAGACAGAGACAGAGACGGAGACAGAGAAAGGGGGGAGACACAGGATTCGCGAGAGACGCTAGCGAGCGAGCGGGAGGGAGAGAGAAGGGGAGAGAAGGGAAGAGGGGGAGTTGGAGAGAGGAAGAGGGAGGGGAAGGGGAGAGGGGGGAGCCCGAGACAGGGCTGGAGGGAGGGAGGGAGGGAAGAGAGGGGGAGGCCAACACCTCGCTCGGACTCCGCCGCTCTCCCCAGTCCCCCTGCCGCCGCCCCCGCCGCCGCCGCCGCCGCTGCTGCGCCCACCCTGGGGAGCCGGGCCGGGCCGGGCCGGGCCGGGCCGCTAGGACTCGGAGCCTCTTCTCTGGGCCAGGGCGCGCGCGGAGCTGGGCGCAGCCCCGGCTGGACCCCACGATGCTCCCCGTGGCCGGGGAGCCGGCAGGTAAGGGGGGAGCAGGGCCGGGCCGAGCCGGCCGAGCTAAGGGGGCCGGAGCGGATGCCGACTGAGCGGGCTGCCCGGAGGTCCCCGCCCCCGGCCTCAGCCGGCCCAGGCGGACTCGGGCCGGCCTGGCCCGGCCCGGCCCCGTCTCGGCCTGGGAGTGATTAGTGGAGGGGGCGGGGGCGGCCCAGCCGGGACCCGGGCAGGAAAAAGCCCGTCACGGGCCGGGGGAGCGGCCGGCGGGAGACTTTCCGCTTTGCGGCCAAGGGACTCAGTTAGTCCTCAGCCCCGGGGGAGGGCAGGGGAGGGGAGGGGAGGGGAGGGAACCGCTCCGTCTTGGCCGCGCCTGGAGGTGGGAACTCGCTACGGGAGGGGGAAAGGGCATCTCTCGGCTGGAGAGACTCCGTCTGTACCCCTGACCCCGCCCCCGCCGCTGGGAAGGGAGAAGCTCCCCGGAGTAAGGGGGGGGAGTGGGGGCGGGGCCGGGGGCTTAGGGGCCACACAGGGGGAAGGAGGCGCCGCGGGGGAGAGGGGGGCGGGAAGAGCAAGGTCACTGCTTTGGGGTTCGGGCTGAGAAAGTAGGACCTTCATAAGCCCCCCCCCACCTCATTTTCCCCATCCAAACCCCACCCCAGGGACGCCCAGAAAACTTTCCCCAAGAACTCTCCGGTCAACACACATAAGTATCTTCCTGACCTTCTCCGGCCATCCCCCCGCCCCCCCCAGTGCCTCCCACGCAGTAAGCCTCCACCCCAGCTCCTGAGTGTTCTTCCTCTCCCTGCCTGTAGACCCCCGAGGTTTCCCCCAACTTCCCCAGGTCAGACAACTTCTCCTCCTCTCCCTTCCCCCCCGAGCCAGCACATCAGCACTGACTAATTCCCACGGAGGTCCCTCCCCTTCTCTGGGCCCCCTCCCTCACAGCCCCAGGAGTCCCACCGAAGCCCGCAGCCCTTCTCCAACCGACTGTTAGTTTCTCTCTCTGGTAGGAAAGGGAAGGTGAAAAGGGAGTGAATGGCCGGGCTAGCCGTCGGCTAGAAACAAGGCACCTCAGAGAGAAGGGGCCAGCTGGGCCACCCACAGAAGGCAGGCAAGGAGCCACCCGGAGATGATGCACGGCAAGCATTCCCGTGGCCGTGCCCAGTACAATCCGTGCCCCCCCGACAGCCGGCCGTCAATCCTCCCAATGCTCTGCGACAGCCGGCCGTCAGAGCTAACGATGGAAATGTACACCGAATCCCAAGTGCGGGCAGACGAAGGCCGGCCTTCCCTGGCCCCCCCGGCCCGTCCCCACCTATGGCCTTGCTCTCGGGCCTAGCTCAATAGCTCGGGCTGCCGGTCCACGCCGTGGAGCTGAGACTTTCACCCCGCCCCTAATTCTTACCATTCACGAGCAGCTCTCCCACACAGCAGGCTTCCTCCCCATTCACTGCTCCTTCCCATTGCTCTGCATAATCCCACTCGACTATTCACACTTTCCCTCTCCTCTTCACTCTCATTTCCCACCCTCATCACTGATAGGCACCGCCTTCGAACTCTCCGGGGCACTGCCTTCGCCCCGAGTCTTTTCCTTGGGACCCTCCCGGTCTTTCCTGCCCCTTCTCCAGGGGCTGAACCACACCTCTGCCCATATAGGCACATGGGCAGTTCTCACAAACCGCTTCATACTTAACGCAGGTAGAAAAGAGCCTTGTTAATTTCTTCTCCGCCACTCATTTTCCTGGGCCATGGACTTGTCCACCTTTTTCCGTGGGGGCCTTAGTTTCCCCTCTGAAGCCCAGACCCATTGACCTCTTTACTCAAGGCCAAGGAAAGAGAAGGGAAAGGAATGAGAGCTTCAGAGGAGGGTGTGGGGGAGACAAGATCTCTGAGGAAAAGGAGAGGAGAAGAGAGCCGCAAAAGGTGGCACCAGCAAGAAGGGGCAGGGGCTGTCTGCCCACTCTCCCCTTTGCTGCCAGCCTTGGGGCGTGAATCACACAAGGTGGTAGATGGAGGGGGATGAGGGCTGTGTTTGGAATCAGATGGTCTGCATTTTAATCTAGCCTTGTAGTCACTAGGGAAATCATGTGGTCTCTTTGGGTCTCAGTTTCTTCCTCTGTAAAATGAGGGGGTGGGGACTAGGTAATCTTTTCCATCCTTTTTCCTGCTCTTCATGAATTAGGAACAGCCACAGCCTTTTAAAAAGGCCTTTCTCGGCCACCTCAGGTCACTTGGTTATGCCCAACACTTGTCTGGGAGTCCCCAAATAAGGTCCTTTCCTTGGAACCCAGATTTTTAATGGGTGCAAAGGAATCCTCCAGCCCACCGTAAGTGCTTTATGCTGGAGGCCTCTCTTGATGTCCCATTCGGATGGGCAGCTCTATCCTACAGATCCCTGATGGTGCAGAGGCCCCAACCAGGGCTTTCCTCCCTGTCCCTGACCTCCATGGCATGTCGGGGCCTCCAAGCTCCCCCCAGACACACTGGGTGAGGTCAGGCTGAGGGCTGCAGGCCAGGGACTGTGGGGGCTGCTGGCCCAAGCCTTGTGTACACGTGTGTGCCTGCGTGTGCAGCCGTGTGGGGTGGCCGGTGCGCTTGCGTGGGCTGTGTGGATGTGCTCGGGACCCTCCATTCCCAGGGCCCAGGGATCTGGATGGAATTAGGGGCCTGGCCGGGTGGGGGCCAGGGTGGGGGTTGAGGGAGGGGGTGCACTAGCAGGAAACCTGAGCTGGCTCATTAGCTCCTCACGTGCTCAGCTGGATTTATAAACACAGCGAGGAGACGGGATGTAAACAATCAGGCGGCAGCAGCCAGAGACAGGGCTGGGGAGGGGAACCAGAGCTGGGGGAGGGGGGGGGGGGGGAGGGCCACAGCACCTCACATAGATGGCCAAGGCCCCCCGACCCCAGAGAGCAGGAGCTTGTCCCACCCCACCGGCCCTCTTCACAGAGAGGCAGGCTCAGGGTGCTCGAGCAGAGGGCCCCAGGGCCAACTGCTAGACTCTAGTCGCCATCACACCAGTTCCGGGAAGACCTGGGGTGGGCTGCAGGAAGGTTCTGTTCTCAGAAGCAAGGCTTCCTGGCTTTCCAGCCCTCGCCCGGACACCACAGGTGTTCTCAGCCCCTCCCAACATCCATCTTCCTGCCTTTGAGATGGAGAGAAGAGGTCGTGTTTAGACCCCATCCTCAGAACTGGGGGAGGTGGGGGAGGGTCAAGCCTCCCTTCTCTCCCACTAGATTCCCAAGCTTCCTGCCCTCTCCCTGGTTTTCTCCATCATATCCCCTGCTCCCCCCCTCCCCGCCAGCAGTGACACAGTTACCTCAGAACTGAAATATTCCTGGAAACACCGGCCTTGTCTGGTTAATTTCATGAGCCGTTTTCTGCCCAGATGAGGGTTCTTGTTTATTCAAAGGCATCTTCCCTGGTGGGGGGGAGCCGGTTCCCTGAAGGATGCCCCGCAGGGCCCCCAAGTAGCAGCACGATCACCACCTGGAAGCTGGGGGATCTTGGAGAGCAGGGCTCTGAGCATGAGTGTGGCCAGAGGGCTAAGTCACCCCTTTAGGACAGCAAGCCCAGCTCCAGAGGGGGCTGGGGTAATAGGAAAGGGCGAAGGCTGCGCTTTTCAGCTTTCAAATAAGGAAATGCTGGACATCTGGGCCAATCCTCTCACTTTACAAATAAGGAAACTGAGACCTGAGAAGTGACGGGACTTAGCCAAGCCCACAACGCCATTCTAGGCCCAGCCTCCTGACTCCAAGCCCAGCGTTCTTTCCACTATCTTGTGGTGTTTCCCAACATAGAAGGAAACGTTTTCTAAGCAATTGGAGCAGCCTGCCTCAGGAAGCAGCAGGGAGGCCCATCCGAGCAGGTTGAAATGCCTCTTGGGGATACTATAGAGGGATGGGCTCCAAGGTCCAGCTGTGAAATTTAGCAAAGGGAGAGAAGGCGCTGTGCATGGCAGCTGCACGAACTGGGGGTAGCAGAAGCTACAGGAGGCAAAGGGAAATGGGAGGAAGTGGGAGCAGGCCCCATGCTCCAGAATGCATAATCAGGGTCACTCCCCCAGAGGCCCCACCTGTAGATAAGGTCTGGAGATTGTCACCAGGGCCTCTGCCCCACAGCGCCCCCCATAACAGCTGCAACATGACCCCTTCTCTGAGGATGAAGGCAGGCACCTGAGCTGTGCAGAAGCCCTGGGCAGCCCACCTCCCCCCGTCCAGTGGTCACAGCCAAGGGCTTTGCCCCTCCCTCGCTGTGATGACAAAGCCTGGGTAGAAGTGACTCTGTTTCCATATGCCAACAGCCTCCCACAGGCACGGCAGGTAGGCTGTGCAAGTATTGCTAGTAACATTTCAAAAAGGAGAATACTGAAGCTAAGAGGAAGAGAAGTTACTTATCCAAGGTCTCAAAAATTTGAAGGGGAAAAGGGGCCTGAGAGGCGAGTCTTCCAGAAACAAGCCCAGAGCTCTGCCCACTTTCATCCTGAGTCTCTAGACACAGCCCAGCCCTGAGCCGAAGCCCAGCCTGCCTCAAAGCCAGCGCATCCAAAGTGCCCGCAGCTTCGCACTTGGCACTGACCCAGTGCGAACCACAAACCCACCTGGGGCCTGTGCCCTAAGCCCAACCCAACCACTGACTCTGATCCTCTTTCATCCTTCTCCTAACCCTAAACCTTAAAAGAAATCTGGGCGACTACCAGCCCTAACCTTACCCACTCCTGAGCCTGACCCAACCACCAACTGTAATCCCATTTCAACACCAGCCCTGAACCCAAACCAACCAGAATCCACTCTGAACACACTAGAGCCCTACTCATTTTGGGCTACTTCACCCTAGTTCTTGGATATGACTCAGCCCAATAAAAATAGGTTAGTCAATCATGTGTCCTGACTACAGCACGCTCCTAGGAAACCCAGCCTCTTCCCCCAGAGCCTCCAAGCCTTCCGGAGATCACCAAGGACTTGGGCCCGTGTCACCACTGGTCTCCACCCTGACAAACACTGGGTACTGACCACTGGGGAACACCTCTGACTCAGACCTATTGGGCACCCCCATTCAGAATGAATGAGCACCCGACGTGCCTGGTGACGTCCTTCAGCCCACTCCATCCCATAACCTCTAAGGCAGCCAGGTTCTAGAACCGAAGCCCGTGCTCCCTAGAAGGGCTCCACAGCTACACCCCACTTTCGATAACCTGATTTCCCCATCTGTAGTCGAACCTTGGCAACCGAAAGCCAAAAGCACAATCCTATGCTGCTTTCACTTTCTCTCCCGAGCTCAGGTCTCCACGCAGGCTGGCTCCCTTACTCAGCCCCAGGGCAGAACTGTGAGAGGGGTCAAGGTGAAGGCCGCAAAACCAGACTCTCCCTCCTATCCCTCAAGACCAAAGTCACATGCTTTTCCCACATAGTATGGACAGGGAAACTGAGAAACAGACAGGGTCCAGACAATGATGAGGGCAGAAATGGAATCCAGGACCCTCTGACCCCCAGATAAGAGTCTCTTCCTTATCCTCACCCTAGGGCTGCCCCCTCTCATCCACATTAATGCAGAGGCTCTGACACACGGGCCAAACACATTTTTAAGCTAACACCCTGTCATGAGGTCACAAACCAAAGTCACGAACATAAATGTGCACTCACACAAACACACACACACACACACACTCACTCACTCTCACACTCTGACTCCATCCCTTTCAAGTCTCCCATCTGGTACCTCCTTCCCTTCCCAGTCAGAGGTGGGGACAGACACCTGAGGGGCTGCCAGCTGTCTCCCTGCCCCCCACCCCCACTTTAGGCTCTCTCTCAGTCCCTCTCTTGCCCACAGGGGACTCGTGGGGGATGCTGGCTTGTCTGTGCACCGTGCTCTGGCACCTTCCTGCTGTTCCAGCCCTCAACAGAACAGGGGATCCAGGGCCTGGCCCCTCCATCCAGAAAACCTATGACCTCACTCGGTACCTAGAACATCAACTTCGAAGCCTGGCTGGGACCTATGTGAGTATCTGGGGGAACCTTGACGTGGGGAGGGGGGGGTGGAGATGATGGGCAATGTTTCTCTAGCCCCCAGCATCCTCTCGCCTGGCCTTTCTCCTTCTCCCCTTGGCTTCCCCCTCCCTTCCCCATTCCCGGCCCCAGGACTAGGCATGTGGGCAGGACTGCCCCACTGGCTGCCAGCCCAGCCGCCCGCCCTCCTCCCCCTGGGGGCTGGGGAAGTCTCTTCTGTTTACACCGTGTTGTGGTGTCTCTCGCACGGGTGGGGCCCAGGGTGGGGGCGGCCCCCACCTCACACGCCTGTGTCCTGGCTCGCCCCGGCCTCTGAACACGGGGCCCCTGCAATCTGGGCCTCCCCTCTGTCTGACCCCATCCCAGCTGGGCCTCTTGGGGGGTCACATGGTAGGGGGACCAGTAAGGAGCCCAGATTGTTGGTGGGTACCCCAGGAATCCTGTTGGAGGGGCCTGAGGAGAAGGTGGTGCTGTAGGGAGCTGGCCCTCTTTCCCGTTGTTCCTCCCCCCCCCCCCAACCCCTGCTCCAGAGCCAGGGAAGGGAAGGGGAGGAGGGAGGAGGGGAGCTGGCTCCAGCCCCAGGATACACCGAGGAAATTAGTTTGTCTCTGAGCTTGTCAGCGTGTGAACCTCCCCCCTGGGCCCTTGCCTGTCCCAAGCCTCGCCCCCCTCCTCAGCTCTCCCCAGCTGAACACCGCTTCCCCACCCCTTCCCCTGGGCCCCCGGACCTACCCTACAGTTGGCAAATGCTCGGGTCACATCTCATCTCTCCTTTGCCCCCAGCCCCCGTCCCCTCTCTCCTTCCCCCACCCCTGGCATTCATCTGGGGAGTTGGTAAAAGGTGCTCTGCTCTCTGCCCCCTCCCCCCTTCTGCTGGAAGGGCCAGAGACACTGGGGGTAGGGGGAAGTGGGCATCTGGGGGAGGCAGATGAGGAGGCGGGGTGGGGGGGGGGCGCACCCTGGTGGGCTTGTTCCCCTCTGTCTTCCTTCCAACAGGCCCCGCACTGCTCTCCTGAAAACCTCTGCTTGACTCTGCTGCCCCTTTTGCTCTGACCTATTTCTCGCCTCCCTCTGGCTGCCAAGCCTCTCCGAGGAGTGGTCTACACCCCTACGTCTGCTTCCTCTCCTCCCACTCACTCCTTAACCCCCTGCCATCTGACTTCCCCTCTCCTGACTCCATTCTCTCTGAGGTCAGCCAGGAGCTCCTTCTTGCCCAGGCAGGGCTCTCTTCTCCGACTCCGTCGGCCTCGTCTGTGCGTGTGGGGCCGGGCGTTCTGGAAGCTTCTTCCTGGGCTCAGGCACTCTCCTGGGCCTTCTCCCTCCACTATCCCTTCTCCTGTGGCTTTCCGCGGTTGATCTTCCTTCCTCCCCACATCTGTGGGCTTTCCCCCCAGACTCAGCCAATCATTCAACAAATATTTTCTGAGCATCTACCATATGTAAATCCCTCTACTTTCTGTTCTCTGCGCATGCCTCCCCAGAGAGCTCCCCCATTGCTAATGTTTTGACTATGACCTCGATGTGGAGGACCCGGCGGGGGCCCTCCCCTCCCTAGCAGCATAGGAAGTGCCTCACTGTGGGGGGCACAAGCCCAGGGTCCCAGGGGGGCAGGCAGCTGGGGGGCGTCCCCTCCGAGAGCCGGCCCTACCGCCCTCTCCCTCCCACAGCTGAACTACCTGGGTCCCCCTTTCAACGAGCCTGACTTCAACCCGCCCAGGCTGAGCGCTGAGGCCCTGCCCAGCGCCACGGTGGACTTTAACGTGTGGCGAAGCCTCAATGACCATCTGCGGCTGGCTCAGAACTACCAGGCCTACAGCCACCTGCTCTGCTATCTGCGAGGCCTGGACCGCCACGCGGCCACGGCCGAGCTGCGCCGCAGCCTGGCCCACTTCTGCACCAGCCTGCAGGGCCTGCTGGGCAGCATCGCGGGGGTCATGGCCGCCCTGGGCTACCCGCTGCCCCCGCAAGGGGCTGAGCCTGCCTGGGCCCCCAGCCCTTCCCACAGTGACTTCCTCCAGAAGATGGATGACTTTTGGCTGCTGAAGGAGCTGCAGACCTGGCTCTGGCGTTCTGCCAAAGACTTCAACCGGCTCAAGAAGAAGACGCAGTCCTCAGCTGCGGCGGTCACCCTGCGCCTGGAGGCCCCTGCTTCTGACCTCTGACCTCTGGCCTCCCTTCTCCGCCTTGCCTTCACGATGAGCTTCCCGCCCTCCTAGGGAGGATCCCCTGGGGCTCCTGAGCTCCCTCTGTTCTCACCGAGAGTGATGCAATAAAGCTCCACTCCACCCTGGGAGCCTGGGACCAGGCGGGAGAGCCGAGGGCGCTTGGACTCTGGGCTTCCCACCTTCCCAACCCGGCGGCCCGAGAAGCAGCAGTCAAACAGGAGAGGCGGGGCTCACTGCGGGAGGTGCCTGGCGGGTGGAGCCTCCTGGCTAGCCCTGCTCTCCCCTCTTCTCACCTTCAGCCACCCCACACTTCCAATGTTGCGGGGGGGGGGAGGAATGTGGTGACCCAGGGACCACATCGGGAAGAGGCAGGAATTCAACAAGGGAATCGATCCCTGGGGACGCCCTCTCACCAAAAGCCGCAGTGATGCCAAGCATGTCAAGCGTTAATAACTTTGCCTCACATTTCTCCTTAACGTCATGGTGGCTCCCCCCTCCCAGGGCACCCTACCCAGCCCCAGCGGGACAGTCACAGTCACAGAATTTCCTAAAAGTTTACATTGTTGAGGACGGTAGCATTTTGGGGATGAGGAGAGGGCGACCTGCCCCCCTCCCCAGCCCCATCCACTCACGACTCTCAGTTTGTTTGTATTAATATTTATTTATTTGGAGACGTTATTTATTAGATGGTATTTATTGCAGAATTTCTATTCTTGTATTAACAAATAAAATGCTTTCCCCAGAACTTTCCTGTGCTCCCTGCCTCGCCTCACCTCCCCTTTGCCCCAACCGTCCCCTCCACCCCTTCATTCCCGGTTCCTGTTCAGTTGTTTCTGACGCTTTGTAACCTTATTTGGGGTTTTCTTGGCAGAGGTACTGCAGTGGTTTGTCATTTCCTTCTCCAGCTCATTCTACAGATGAGGGAACTGAGGCAAACAGGGTGAAGTGACTTGCCCAGGGTCACACAGCTAGTAAGTGTCTGGGGCCAGACTTGAACTCGGGAAGATGAGGCTTCCTGATTCCAGGCCCGGCGCTCTGTGCACTGTGGCGCCCCCTACCTGCCCTCTCAGTCCCCTAGGTCTGTCTGTAAGTGTTAAAACCATCCAGGACTCAAGAAACTTGGGGTGGCAAGGGAGGGGAGGAAGAGAAATCATGAGGTGAGATTTGGGAAATGTTGGGGGAGTGGGCTAGAATCCCCTTCCTCTGTCTGTGAAACTAAATGCATATTAATTAAGCATCACCTTGTTGACTTTAGGTAAAGTCACAGTCCCTGCCCCCCCACCCCCATCGACTTACAAGAAGGATAAGTGACAAAATACAGACAAAGCACGTAACATCAGAGAGGTGATCAAGGGGGCTGTTCTGGCCCAGAGAAGGACTGAAGGACACAGAGGGAAGAGAGCCCAGGTGTGCTCGGTGGAGGGCAGCAGGGGGCATATGGGGAGATATCGAAGAAGCCTGAAGTAGAACCTCACTTTCTACCTTTGACCTTGAGGAAGTCACCTTGTTTTTTCTGTGCCTCAGTTGCCTGTCTATAAAGCGAGCGATTTGGACCATGTGATGATAGAGGGACCTCCCAGCTCTAGCACTAAGATCCCACAAAGTAAGGTGATGCCAGCTTGGGGAGGTATCTGGATTCCAGACAAAGGAGTCTGAATCTTCTTCCGGAGGGAGCCACGAGGGATTTGGAAAGCCGAGGAGCAGAGTGAGCAGACCTATGTGCATTAGAAGGATTATTCTGGCAGTTGTAGAAAGGATGGCTTGGAGTGTAGATGGAGATGGGAAGATATGTCCGGATGGATGGTAATGAGGACCCATAGAGCAAGGTAGCCATGAGGAACAACTGTCAGGGATGGCCCAGAGGAAGAACTGGCAAGTCTTGGTAGACAGGAAGGGGGGGGGGGGGGGGGGGAGAGGAGCCCAGGATGGTGCCATGGGGAGAAATGGGAGGTCCGAGAAGGAGCAGGCCGAGGGCAATGCCGAGTCCAGTTTGGGCCATGGCGAGATGGAGGGAGCAGGGGGACATCCAAAGGAACTCATCCCCTGGGCAGGAAGAGATACACATCTTGAGCTCAGAGAGGAGTCAAGTCAGAGCTTCGGCTTGGGAGACATCTGCACAGAGGCGGTAGTTGATGATAAGGGAGGGAGTGAGGCTGCCAAGGGTAAAAAAAGAATGTAGAAACAGAAGGGAAGAGGGCCAAGGACAAAACTTTGGGGAACACCCATGTGCAGGGATTGAGAAGAGGAGGAGGAGCCAGCCTCGGAGACTCAGAAGTAGTTACCACGGAGGAGAAAAACCGGGGGAATGGGGTGTCTCTGAAACCGAGGCAGGAGAAGATAGCCCGAAGGAGGAAACGAGGGTGGGCACTCACAGGTGCTTTGGAGAAGGCAAGGAGAAAGCATTGCAAAAAAGATGGCTGGAATGGCAGGCACGAGGTCACCAAATGGAAAACGGAGTGCAGACTGCTGGGGAGAGGGTAGACAGGCACCAGGGGAAGACAAAGGAGGTCAGTCGTGGAGGAGAGACTGGCCATTATCCCCAATTTGACCGCCTAGTGTCTCCTACTATCTGCTTCTGCAGGGTTTGGGACCTGACCATTAGTGGCCTCTGTGGCTTCTGGACGTGGCTAGAGGCTAGAGGCAAGGGGAGTGGGGCAGCAGCGGAGGGGAAGGCGTGTTGGTGTCTGGGGCCAAGCCCCCAGTGGGCCTCCGGCCTCCTTCACACGTACACGTTCAGATACACGGAGCAGCTGAGATCAGTGGTGGAGGCGTGTTCTAGATCACACCCTATATCCTCATAGCACAGGGCATTTTTCCCATCTGTTATCGCATGTCATCCTGGTAACTGCCCCTGCCAGGTAGTCTAGGCAGACATTAGCTTTCTGTTTTACCTGAAACCAGAAAAGGAGAAGCAATTTGCCTACAGTCACACAGCATGTTAAGAAGCAGAGCTAGTAAGGTAAGAGCTCGGAGGGGGAGGGGAGGAAGGGAAGTACTGAGAGAGCTGGGGTCAGGCGCCCACCTTTGCCCTCTGGCCTCTGCCCTATTCATCCCCAGCTGCTCTTCAGAGTTACGGATGAGCTCTCAATGGCCCCTTTGGGACCTCACTGTGCATCGCTTCTCTTCCCAGACATTCCTCCCTCTCCAGGTTTCTGTACCACTCTCCTGGTTCACCCCCTAATTCTCTGACCGCCCCTTCTGGCCTTTTTGAAATATCTCCCTCTTGGTGATGCCTCCTGGCCTGTCCTCTCTCCTGGGCCCTCTTCTTTCTTCCTTTATTCTATAGCCACTGGTGAGCTCATCACCTCCCATGGATTCACTGATCTCCCTGAAGATGATTCCCGGAGCTACATATCCAGCCCCACTTTCCCTCCCAAGGTCCAAACTTCTCCCACTGGATGTCCTGCAAGCATCTCAAACTCCCATCAACGTGTCCAAATCATAACTCATTCTCTTTCCCCTGAAACCCTCTCCCCCTCCCCCACTTTCCTATCACTCTCAAGGCCACCATCATCTTCCCCTCATCCAGGCTTGGAGTCATGGGGTGTCCCACTCTCTGCTCACACTCTCTCACCCCATGTATCAGTCTGGTATCAAAGCTGATCCTTTCTCCCTTCCCAACGTCTTGGACGTACAGGTCTCCTCTCCACCTGTGCAGCCAGCCTCATATATGGGCCCTCACCATCTCTATCCTGGACCACTGCAAGTCTCCTCTCCACCCGTGCAGCCAGCCTCATATATGGGCCCTCACCATCTCTATCCTGGACCACTGCAAGTCTCCTCTCCACCCGTGCAGCCAGCCTCATATATGGGCCCTCACCATCTCTATCCTGAACCACTGCAAGAGTTTTCTGATTAGTCCAGTTGCTTCCCCCCTCAATCCAGCCTCCATCCGGCTCCCAAAGTGAGCATCCTAAAATCCGGGAAGGAGCATGTCCTTCTGTGATTCAGTAAATTCTGGAGGTTCCCTTTTTCCCCACAGGATCCACTATAGAAGCCTGCTTGGTATCTGAAGTCCTTTCCTACCTATTCCTTGCCTCTCTTTCCAGTCTTCTCAACCCTTAGGTCCCCTCTGCAAACCCTAGAATCTGCTACCCTGGCCTCCAGCTCTTCCTCACACACACCCATCCATGTGCACTGCACTGAAAAGCCCCTGCTCCTCACCTCCTGCTCCAAACTTCCCCAGCTTCCTTCAGAACAGCCCAAATCCCACCGTCTTGATTCCCCAGCCCACTTCACCTCTAATGCCACCTGGAGATTGCCCCCTGACATCCGTGCCATTTGCCTTGTTACATATCTTGTATGTGCATAATGATTTTTATGCTGTCTCTCCCAATAGAGCATGAGCACCTTGAGTTCGGGGACTGGGTTTTTGCCTTTCTTTGTATCCCCAATACTTTGCACCATGCCAGGCATATAGTAAGTGCTTAATAAATGCTTGTTGACTCCTGACCTCAGACAAGTCACTTCCCTTCCTCTGGGATTCAGTTTCTGCATCTGCAAAACGAGAGGGCTGGATTAAATGACCTATAGGTTCCCTTCCAACTATATGCATATACTCCCCTGACTTCTGAGGCCCCTTCCAGCCTCAAACCTTTGATTCTATGACGAACTTAACTCCTAGGTTTTGTTCCATTGGACCATATTAGCCAGTGTGGCGCCAGGTTCAGATGGTAGGGCCAACTGTAGGCAGGGAAGGTATGGTCTAGCAAAAGAGCTGGTGCTTAATAAATGTAAACACTCAACCTGATCTGGGACTCCATCCCCAAACTATCATCCTTGCCTCATCTTAAGCCCTCCCCTCGGTGGAAGCAGAGGAGAATTAAGGGAGAGTAAGCATGAGAGTGTATGAACACTCCGGGGGCAGCCCCCTGGAAAACTAGAGCACTGTATTGGGTGTCACAGCTGCCCTGGGTTTACCTGCTGCCCTCTCCCCGAGTGGCTGAGCCTACCTTGGGCCCCAACCCTGCCCACAGGGACTTCCTCCAGGGATGAAGGAGTTCCAGACTGCTAGAGGCAGGAGAAAGGCCAGTTTGAGGTAAAAAGAAGTAGTCTTCCCTACCTCCAGTTCCCTAAATATTCCTTTGCCATCTTAGCTGACCCCCACATCCAATCAGTCCCTAGTCCTATGGAGTCTTCCTTCTAATCTCTCCCATACACCTCCTCTTTTTCCTTCCTACGGCCCTAGCCTGGCCTCCCTTCAGCTTCTGATGGTACCGTTTTCATCTTCCGGGAAGCTAGAAAGTTGTGATCTTCCAGCGTCTATGCGGGCTGGGCTGAAGCCATCCTACACCTGATCCCAAGTAATACTAAAACAGGATTTTCATCCCATCCCAAGGGGGGCTCATGCAACCTTGAATGGCTCCCCACTGTCTACAGGATCAAGTCCCAAGCCCTCAGCTTGGCAGTCAAAGGCTCTTAACCCTTTGGCACTAACCTCCCTTTCCATTTTAACCGCTGCACCCCAAAAGAGCCTTGCTCATTCCTTCCACTAGCCCTTGTTTATCTGACTTCCACCTGCCTCCTTCATCTACCTCATCCTGAGAGCCAGCTGAAATCTCTCCTTCTCTGACCAGGTCGACCCATGATGATTTCTCCCTTAGCTTGGAAGAGTCTGGACCATCTTCCATATGCTACATCACATGCTACTTTGCTTATTTACTTATTTACTCTCAAGTACTTGAGAAAGGGAAAGGCTAAGAAATTATGGTTAAGCCTGACCATGGGCCTACACTTATATGTGCA